AATAATATATTGTCTTTACAGTGTATTCATTATTAAAATTATTATAATTTAGGGACAAATAGTTTAATATTATATTTTCTTACACTTTATTTACGATCAATATCTCAATAATTATATAACTTAAATAATAAATAAACAAAACTAGTTTATTTTTATTGAATCATACATTTAAACTGGAAATGTATTAGCCGATCGTGTTTATTTATTATAAACGGAAAGAGAACGCTTAAAGCGTACGTCCCTGGCGTGCCATTAATATTGAATTTGAGGGTACAAGTATCATACAATATTTAAGTGAAGGGAAAAAGTAATTTGATAACAATTTATAAAAACGTATTTCGGTTTTTGATTAGATAAAACTATACAACATGATACTATTATACCATACTGCAAACTAATTAAAGATGGATTTTTAAAAATATGTTTGGATAATATCAAGATTTGTGAATTTCTATTTACACGGACCAAATCAATAAACAGAAACTTATAATGGTTAGTTTTTCACGATATTTATATGCATATACAATATTTATCTCATTTACGATAAGTGTTCGTATTTGGGCCTTCCAATAACTCTAAACTAACACACACCACACAATGGATCGATCCTTACCTTGCACGCGAGCGGTCGTTGTTTACAAACTAGTTTAATAATTGTACATTTTTAGGTAGACCAACAGTGTTATACCTCTACAACGACGCTTTGCCAGAATAGCTACGCGCAGATTTTATTGTATTTTATTTATTTTTATTCTGTCACCAGAGAAGGTAGAAAATCCTCATGGTTAAGAAAATAAAACCAAGTTAAAGTTCAAAAAACGTGTCGAATTCGACCCAAAGGTTCAAGATATATAAACTGTCGACGTTATCCAAAGAAAGGGGTTGTATTATTATGATACTACTTAATGCTTTTATACCTAAACTGTCTTCTATAATATGCATTTAGTATTCAATGTCTTATATTTTGTTTTTATATACGTATACGATTAGAACGATTTTACGTACAACTATGTATAATATATATGCTAAACGCGTTTATTTTTTGTAAACAGTGGAATCTGTGAATATATTTTAATTTTTTATTCATTTATAAAACATACAGTTTATACTCAAAATCCAGTAAGTAAATATAGTGGAATCATGAATGTATAATAATAATAATAATAATAATATAATGATACGATGATTGAGATTATCCATTAGTAAGACTCTTCAGATCCAATTAATTATTTAATTAATTTAAACTATTAGTTTAAAAATGCTTCATCATATTGCCATTTGAGATGATATGAATAGTATGTGGAAAAGTAATAAACATGAATTTTTTTTTGTAGTCTAGTTGATTCACTTTTTTTGTTTTAAATTCTATGTGTAGCCACTGTAGCTAGTTGTATCTGACGTACCAAAGAACTGAAAGTATTATGGGATAAAAAGGCTGATTGATTTAAAAGGTTTTACTTATGATAAAGTCCGAAACGGTTTTACGTTTTTCCGAATATATATATACTATATAAGCCCAAATATATTTTATTAGGGATTTATGATTTTGGATGGACTGAACATTTAAATTTAAATAAAAGGCGCACCTGCGTGACTACGGATATTGAATATTTTACGTTTGATTTTTGAAAACGAGTCTTAAGTTAATCATTTGTCAAGAATAACGCTTAAATATTTAACCAATTCTATAATATAATTATAAATATCTATACAATTAAGTTGAAGTAACAGTGAGCATTTTTTCCCAAGTGGGAATAATTTATTTAATAATTGTTCTACTCGTAGGTTTATTTTGATTCACAATCCAATTTCCCGGGTAGTTATTATCGAAATATTTTTAAACTGTAGTTATATTTAATATTTCGGAAATGTTTGGTATGTGATGTGTATACACTGAATAAATCAGGGAAAAGGAAGACTCTTGTAGTTAGGGAGAAATAAAAGAAATTGATGCGTTGTTTTGTCTGACTGCAAATATGTGAGCATATTATTTTAATGCGCAACAAATACACATATGAAAAGAACAAACATATATTAATAAATATGCTTGTATTATGTCGATTGGAGAGCTTATCTGACTTCTGAGCACAAAAAGCAATTTAAAATCATATAATATAACATGATATTCCATGATATAAACTGGGCTTACTGGTAAGTGGTAAGTTGAATATTATATTTATCCAGTTTACTGAACTGCTACCTAACGTTGATTTTTTTTAACGGCGGGAATACGATTACTGTGTACAAGAGTAACAATTATGGTAAATATCCTCAAGGTTTTATGACCCTTGTGAAAAAGTATGATTTATTTAGTTTTACTATTAAGTAATAATACATAGTATTGTACAAATATAATTTTATATATTTTTTTTAATTTAAATTTTGCAAGAGTTTAATATAGAAAACTTCATTTAAACACATCAATTTCTTTTAAAATAATTGCAGTCTATTCGCACGTCATATTACATTATTGTATCATAAATTTTACGACCAATATAACTCGCATATTATAAAAATATCATAGTTGTAAATTGTTTTCTACTATGAGTATAATAGCTAGCGAAAATAGTTTATTTAAGTAATGGTGGTATATATTAGCGTACAAAATAGTGGACTAGTGGTTATGCCTCCCTCTACATAATATCAGGCACTTTATTGTATTACTTATTTATTTATTTATTTATTTTGCTTACTTTAAAGCATTTATAATTTATTTTTTTTAAATGACTATTTTTTAATAAAACCATTAGGTAATTCATATTTTCGTCGAACTCTATTAAACGCCTAATTAATATGTTGTTAATTACTCTCAATAATGTAACTTATTGTTAACAAGACTAAATTAATAGTAATTTAGTAGAAATCGTATATAGTAATAAACTAATATAATATATAATATTACATGGATATTTATAGAAATTATATTACACCTTACGTCATAAATACAGAAATACACTGTGAACTAATCGATCTTATATGACTTTTTATGGTTTGCAAGCAAGACAATCCAATATCACAGATAATTTTACTTTTAATACCCGTGTAGGTCTATACTTAATATTAATTTTTATGTACTAAAACTGCTAGTGTTGTGCATTATCCATAAAATATTTAAATGTATTATGATTGTTAAGATATCATAATAAATTAATTCTTGAAGAAAACATAATTTGACTAACAAATATTTAATTAGGTTCTACCGAGCTCCATTCTACTTAGTAGCTTGAACCATGTCAATTAAATATTTTACGATTTACCAAGAACTTGTTGAGCTCTAAATGCGTAGAATATTAAAAATGTTTAATATAAAATGTACATTATAACAAAAAACTTGTTCACTTGATTTTTTTTTTAAATCAGTAAAAATATATTGAAATATATTTTTAGGAATATCTAGTGTAATATTATAAATTATTAATGATAAATTAATAATATAAATGAGTATTAATAACATAAATAGATGGTTAACACTTAGTATGTGTTAAGTATATACAGATGTTTAATTAACACGATTAATATTACGTTTATAAAGACTTATTTTATTTAACTGAGTGAGTAAATAAAATATGTAAGCAAATATAAACTTTTTTTTTTTATCCACTTTAATATACTGATCTACATATATGGCCACAATATTACAATACAAATATTAAATAAATCGTATGTTATTTATGAATGCAAAAGAAAATTTATAAACATAAAAACGTCATGACGATTTAGAGTTAGAAATTATAAAGCACTGTAATGAATATATTAAAATATAACTAGAATTTTATTGTACTTTGTGGTAAATGAAACATGATCTTTTAAGCTCTTGCAGATTACCCACATATGAAATACATGCATATTTATTAAAATATAATTTATTCAACAATAAAAACAAAATCATGAGGTATTATTATAATATTCACCAAATCATTATTCTATCAAAATATTTAGTTGAATTATAACTGTAGGTATATGTGTGAATAAAATTCGAGGTGGGTACACTTGTTGTATCGAACAACTAACGAATTATCAGTTCATTTTTGTTATCGTTTTCAAAACGGTAATAAAAATATAATATATTTATAAATAGACTTGAGAAAATTTCGTACTCATATCCGTCTTACTAACGCACAACAAACCAAATTTTAAATTCAGAAAAATCCATTTTACTCTATAATTATTTTAATCTCCAACCAAAATCGTTTAGGAATGCAATGATTTATCATTGAATTCAAATTTAACATATCAATTACATAACGCTGACCTACTTAATAACAAGGTACACTTGACATTAACTGGCTACTGTGCAGGAGAGAGGCTACCTGCTTTTTAAAATAACTATCATTGTATAATATATATAAATATTTTTTATTATTATTATTATCATTATATTAATAAATTGTATTTTTTGCTTACGCATAAAGAAGTCTTTTATCATATAATAATATTACAGAATTTTAATCACATTATATTATTTTATGAAAAGTATAAAGAAGTATGTCGTATAATCATAATATTAGCTGTACTTAAATTCTTTAAATAAATACTCATTTTTTGTTAAAGAATATAAAATTCTGTCTACTTGTCAATACTTATAATATTGACATTAAAACTTCAATTATGGTTTTTGCTCTCTTCGTTTTTTTATCTGTTCTTTTTCCTTTTTATTTATTTTATTAATCTCAATTTTCTAATATATTATTCAATGTTGCAACATAATGTGAAAAATATGTTATGCGGAAACCGGATATTTTATTGCAATATTTATTTTCTTGCCAATAACTTTTAACATAATTTATTATTTTCACTATTTAATGTTTTTTTTTTTTTTTTAACTGTATTACATTTTTTGGTAAAATATAACTTACTTATTCTATTTCAAAAAATTGTTTGTCCATTTAGATTTGTCTTTTTTGTTAAATATAATTTATGATAAATAACCATATTTTATGTACTTATTCGTGTCTTGCTATAGAATTCTAAATTTAAAAAATGCGTCCAAATATTTTCAGGCCAAGTGGACTTATGGACACAAGAATCACAAGGATGCCAATGCAATCACGATTTACTTAGACAAGATTGCGCCTGCTGTGTACCACAGGGCGGATGTCAATGCGGAGCATTAGCGGTGAACCGTTGTGCGCAATGCGGTTTGGAGCAACATTGCACTAACAGTACGTATATATGTATATAATATGGTGTATTATAAAGTAATTACCTATATTCAATATTCATCTAACAGTTGTATTAACATATTGGCGTAAGTTTTATATTATGTAATTGTTTTTAAATTTATAACGTTAATGCGACATTTAGACGACTCCTCTGTATGTGATATATTATATTATGATTAGCCAAAGCCATATTATACTTATGTAATAGATACAATACAATGTTTTAATTTTAATTGTGTTGGCAAACAAACAAAAAAAATCGTAATATCAAATTTCTATTGGAATCGATACTTTAACAATAACTCTATTTTAAATAAATGTTAATACCTATTATAAATGATACATTTTAACATTCATCACATAATATCATGTTGATAGGTACCTACACATCATTTATCGACTCTATTTAAACTATTATTATACATTTATGCTAAACACAACAGATGTATACCTACATTTTTTTTTTTTTTTTTGTTACTACTATCATTATTTATGACATTTTTTAATACACACGGTTTCTGGGATTTTCTTACGATGAAAATTGTTCCATGACACGGAAGTAATAGATGCAATGACGTCCAACCAATCTTTTCTACGGGTCTTGCGAACGAATGTGTACATAATATACTGAGTGATTATTTTCGCATTGTACCGATGTAAAGTAATTTTCTCATTAAATATCTATATGTGTTCACTTAACTTAAAAGTTTTTTCACATAATTTTAAGACATTAAAATATGTTTTTCCTAAATGTTGAATTATAATTAATGTACAAGCAATGCAAATTAAAATTTAATTTAATTACATTTTTAAAAATACAAAATTATTGGAAATTACTATTTATTGATTAAAGAACCACCCTATATAATCAGTGATTACGGTAATTGTGACACGAGCAAACTGTTACCGCCAGCGTTTAGCGAGCCCTACTGCAATAGCGACCTGCAGCTTTTATAATCAGTACTGTCACGTATAGATCCTAGTGATGCTTTTGAATAACTAACCAATTAAATTATCCAACCAGGAGTAGTCAACAAGAACAGAGATTATTGAGCAAATTAGAACGATGCGAACATATACACGAAATTAAATGGATTAAAACTATACACAGAATGATTCACCAAACAAGCTTACTCTTATTTATTTTTTATATTATGATGATAAATAATTTCAAAGTTTGAATTAAAAAAATTTCAAGTATACTTAAAGATTATATATTTAATAACATAAATTTTCACACCATTTAATGAGTCTCGTGGTAATATAATTTTTTTTTTTTTTTGAAAATTAAAACGTTTAGATTTTAAATAGTTTAAGTTTGTGTATTATAGAAGGTATTGAAACTATGATTTGAAAATTTTAGTGATTAATATTCATATATAGTAATATAATTTTCTAAGTAGGTACAATAAATACTAGATTTAATAAAACGAATATTTTAAATTTTTATTGAATCATTTTGAATATGACTATAATATCTCCTATGAGGTGTATTTCCCTGGCACCCCCACCTCCGAATTTCGGATTCAAACCAAGGGCTTTCGTTTGTGCTACGTTTGTGCTGGATTGTGCTCGAATTTCATCGTTTGTGCTGCAACCCTTCAGGAGTTATAAGGGATTTCTTTTGGGGGTGCTGGCGAAACGACTGCACCCCCACCTCAGAATTTCGAATTCAAACCAAGGGCTTTCGTTTGTGCTACGTTTGTGCTGGATTGTGCCCGAGTTTCATCGTTTGTGCTACAACCCTTCAGGATTTATAAGGGTTTTTTTGTGGGGGTGCTGGCGAAACGACTGCACCCCCACCTCAGAAT